TGACAAACCGCTATGGGGTTCTGAGGGATGATGGGGTGGACCCTTTCTCCACACTCTCTTCTCCCCTACCCCCCTTCTCCCCCTCCTCCCTCTCCTATCCCTTCTTCTTCTTTTTCTTCTTCTTCCACCTCACACCTCATCCCTCTGATGGAGTGTGAGGTGTCCCCTCCCCCCTCTTCCCACCCCCTCCATCTACTCCACCTCCCCCTTCCCCTTCAGCAGACATCCCCCTACCCCTCTAACCAAAGGAGGAGGACATCTCCAACACCCCTTCCCGGACTGACCCCGTGAAGGGCAGAGTCCGTCACTCCTCCAAATCCCCCACTAGACCACTCGGCCTCCCCCGCAAGGAGGAGTCAGAGTGTTACTCCGAAGCCGGGGCCTTTGTGCGGAAGAACAAGATCTGGTTCTCTCAGTAAAGATGCTGCAGTAAAGAAAAAGAAGGCAGCATGTCCAAAAAAAAAAGTCGACAACACCATCACAGAAAACAAAATTAATTACCTAAAAGGTCGAGCTGAGGCAGGTAGATGCCTCAGGGAGAGCAAAAGACAATCGTTTAGAAAATACATCTCCAAAATAAACAGCCAGACACCACTCAGCCAAGTTTTTAAAATCGCAAAAAAAAAAATTTAGGAAGACGGACAGACACCATCGGGCACATCCAGAGGCCGGATGGAACCACATCTGAAATACAGGTAGACATCGCAAACACAATAGCTACATCTCTTTCCAACAACTCATCCCAAGCAAACTACAACTTCTTCTTCTTCTTCTATCCCGTGGTTGGGGCAACCGTGGGGGCACAACTGCATCTGAAAACCAGATCTCACCATCTATTTTTGTCCTCTGCTTTCCTCAGATTGTCACTCATCGTCTTTCCTGTCCACCCTGTAATGTTGTCCTCCCATCTCATTCTCTGCCTTCCTCTCTTTCTCTTTCCTTGTACGGTTCCTTGCAGGACTGTTTTGGCTGTGGATCTTGTGACATGCCCATACCATTTTAGTTTTCGTCTCTTCACTGTGATCAGCAGATCTTCATATTGCCCCACTGCGTTGGTGATTCTCTTTCGTACTTCAGCATTTGAAACGTGGTCTTTGTACGAGATGTCAAGGAGTCTGCGGTAACATCTCATCTCTGTAGTCTGAATCTTTTTCTCTAATTCTGCTGTTAGTGTCCACGACTCGCAGGCGTATAAAAATATTGAGATGACCAGTGAGCGCATTAGTCTAATTTTTTAGTTGTGCGTGATGTTTCTGTCCCTCCAAATAGGCTTCCGTATTGACAGCGCAGCTGTTGTTTGCGCGATTCTAGAGAGAATTTCTGGTCTTGGGCCTTCATCTGAGACGATTGATCCAAGGTATTTGAAGCTGTTGACGGTCTCAAGTTTCTCGCCCCTGACTTTGATGTCCGCGTTGATGCCATTGGTGTTATTGGTCATTAGCTTGGTTTTCTCGGCCCTGATCTCCATGCCTTAGGCTGCTGAGGTTGTGTCCAGCCGCTCCACTAGTGTGGCGAGCTCCTGTTCTTCTCCTGCTAATCCATCAATGTCATCGGCAAAACGCAAGTTAGTGATTGTCCTGCCTCCAATACTGATTGTTCCATTGTGGTGTTCCAGAGTGTCAGTCATGATTCATTCTAGGAAGATGTTGAAGAGAGTGGGAGAGAGCAAACACCACTGGGCGGATGATGAGCGGAAGGGTCCCATGACGGACCCAACGGTCAGAGCGGAAGGGTTCCAAGCTGAGCTCAACGGCCAAGTGTATTCGAACGGACAAGTGTATGTTCGTGGACATCGGCCTACGGTTAAGAGCTTGGAGAGGGATGGGCACCGCCAAGCTTCTCTGCCCAAGATTCACCACATGAGAATGTCAAACAGCTCAGACACTATACCGGATTGGTCGTCGCCCGGGTCACCAAACTACAACACCACCTTCCAAAACATCAAAACTAACAGAGAACAACAAAAACCTAAACTTCCACTCAAACAACACTGAAACCTACAACGCAGACTTCACATCAGACGAACTAACATCGTACATCTCGGACCTTGGCAATACAGCCCCGGGTCCGGATGACATCCACAACCAGACCCTTCGACACTTACCCACAGAAACACTTGCACGCCTACTAGACAGAAACAACGACATGTGGCGGTCGCACTCCTTACCGGAGTCTTGGCGTCTCGCCACTGTCATTCCTTTACCCAAACCAAACAAAGACCACACACACCCATCCAATTACAGACCAATAGCAGTAACGAGCTGTCTGTGCAAATTTATAGATAGTATGATCCACAGGCAACTCATGTGGTTTCTGGAGACGACGGGCTCGCTGAGCGGTCTCTAGTGCGTATTCCGGAAAACTCGATCCACTCTGGATCAACTGGTCCGCCGGGAGACCTTTGTACGCGAGACGTTTGCCGAAGGAGGCCACATGATCGCCATCTTTTTCGACCTAGAAAAAGCCTTCGACACAACCTGGAAGTACGGCATTCTCAGAGACCTGCACGCTCTCGGCATACGCGGTCACCTCCCTGCCTTCATTGGCAATTTCCTGAAAGAACCGTTCCTTCCAAGTTCGTGTGGGATCCTCTCTTTCAGATCCCCACCAACAGGAGGAAGGTGTCCCCCCCAGGGAGTATCCTTTCTCCTCTCCCATTTGAAATCAAAAGAGATTCCATCTTAAAAACCCTCCAAAATAGCAAAGACAACTCGTTAATCGTTGACGACTTCTTGATATGCTGCCGTTCGAAATATCCTCAACTAAGATCTATGGAAAGGCAGCTGCAAGCGCAGCTGCAAGCGCAGCTGCACAAACTTGAAAAGTGGGCAAACAATAACGGTTTCAAGTTTTCTCCGTCAAAGACGGTTGCAGTACACAAATACTTCTGCCGATCAGGCAAACGTGTACTGCAGCCGGATTTAACACTATACCGGGAAAGGATTGTCGTCCAGGATCAGGCTCGTTTCCTCGGCGTTATATTCGACAAAAAACTCACATTCACCTGACTAACCCTTTACTATCCACGAAATGAATTCATTCCTGAGATACAGAATCTCTTGCAAAAATTGAGTCGGACAGACACAAGAGTGAAACGCTGACAGTAGTAGTTACGACATAGAAATCGCCCGGTTTGGATGGAAAATTGGAAACCAAACTGTCGTATGTCATTGTTACGATATATACGACACCGAGATTTGAAACCAAAGTATCGTAACTAGACTTACTACAGTTTGGATGCAATTTTTTTGCCAAACTCAAGATACGACAAAAAGACTCTGTGCCATAGCTGCCTTAATATTAAAGCTATAGGTACATCGTTTTAACACAAGGTGGGCGTCGTTTTGTTCTTTAACATATATTTTCTTTAAAAAAAGTCGTATCTCGAGTTACGATTGTTTGGAATCGTACCCTCGATGTAACTGTTACAGCTAGAGATTAAAGGATTATAGATGTAAGTCAGACAGAGGGAAAAGATACTGGACAAGATGACAACATGGCTAGGAGCAGCAAGAACAACAGACACCATTGCTGCAGCGCAAGACAGAGTGAAGTGGAGGTCCATGATCGCCCACGCCAGTCGGCAAGGCACCGGATGATGATGATGATGATGATGATGATGATGATGATGATGATGATGATGATGATGATGAG